TTCGTGTTCAAAAGGGCTTCCGTTATCTCGTCTAAGGTTTGGAATAGCACAGGTAGTCAGTATTTTAGACTACCCTAAGCCTGTAAATTCAAAAGGCAATATTAAATGAGACAATATTGACTATGGTAAGCAGTTTGGCCAAGAACTAAATGTGAATGTGTCAAATAGTAAATTTAAATTTCATTCGACCTTACTCTTACCCATGTGTCTCTAAGCTTTAGCAAGATATCACACGACCAATTAGTTGGTATGGCTTGCTTAGGTACCTATGTTACACAAATGTTGACGCACGGTAGTGGGGGTCAGCTTGGGAGTGCTCTAGCGTGAATGGCTTGGTGGGGGTCCAAAGGACACCAGTAAAAAGACAAACTTAAATGTCCAATCCGTAACTGAAAATACAGGCAAGAATTCATACTCTAATAGTAGTGACTTATACAGATAATCTGCTGGAATTCACATCATCAACAAACATCATCCCTTCAAGGTCGGGCGCGTCCGTCAGCTTACTCTTTCCCAATCCGAGAGTCTGGTCCCGCGTTTAAATCGGGCCGAAGTAACAATTGCGGGGCTAAACTGCGGGGATGACAAGGGTTCCTGACGGCGGGTTTACTAGCCACCGTACGTCGCAAATTCTAACCATCATCCCATCTTCTTAAGCATTCAGACAGACTTTAGCCCTTCGATCCTCAACGGCTGGACGAATCATGGACCCAAATCCAGTCAAACCATCTCCTCCTCAACAAGCCCCTACTGTAGAAGAGCCTACAACATGTCGAGAATGCCGACGCCGCAAAGTGAAATGCGATGGTGTTATGCCCGTCTGCTCAATCTGCCGAAAGTACAGAAGGCATTGTCTCTACGACAAGCATAGTAGGACCCGGTTGACCCGAAGGTACATACATGGGGCCGTGCCTATGATTGACTGGCGAAACTGTCGGACTAACTGTGACGTAGACAACTCACCCTTCTAGAGGAACGTCTCGAGAAGGCTGAAACAGTCCTGAGGCGGCATTACACCGATGGCCAGATTGCTGAAATGCTAGAAGGTCCAAAAGAAGGACTAGTAACTCAGAATCAACCGGTACCAGCGGCGACACCAGCAACTGCACCTGAATCGGCACCTACACCAGCACTAACCTTGGGAACGACGCCAGGGTTAGTCAGCTTGCCAAATACAACCCCGACCCCGGGCAATGTGGACAACCTCCTCCAGCTACCGAATCAGACGCCTGATTCAAATATTTATATGACAGGTACAGGAAATGCAGGAACATTCACTACGGATCCCCTGCTTCTGGCACCTATCGGCGAATTAGATGCAGCCCCTGGACTTTGGACTGCCTCACAAGACACTGCATTCGAGGCCACTCCAGCTCCAGCTGACAACTTTGAGTGGAACGAGCAAGAGACTTCATGGGGAACATATGATCCCGCGACTTGGTCTATAACGAACCATGTTGACGGAAACCCCCAAGCTATCATGGATGGCATGGCCTCTCTGACCATTGGTGATCAAAAGAGAGGATACTATGGTGCCGCTTCTGGATCCGCCCTCTTGCGTCAGATTCTATCTGCCCGTCCAGATGGAGAAGAAGTCGACGCCGAAGTGGCACTACATGAGATTGAGTCTCTATTTCAACAGCACTCGGATCATTCACAGTGGTTCCGTTCTCAAGCCATGTTGACCAGAGTGGCTGTTGAGAACCTTATCGACGCTTTCTTTGTCTTCTATCATCCAACGTTTCCTATCGTGCATGAGCCCACTTTTCGAGCGCAGTATGCAGGCACTCTCCCATGTGCCAACAAAGGCCACTGGAACACGCTGGCAAACATTCTCGCAGCCTTGGGATCATTTGCGAGCAGTAACGTTGCTGATGCTACAGACCTGCCGATCTTCCAGGCTGCACAAAAGAGCCTGTTTTCAAACTACCTTGAGGTTGGAAACCTAACCCTCGTGCAAGCTTTTAGTTTGTCATCAAACTATATGCAAAAACGGAACAAGCCTAATACTGGCTTCAACTATGGTGGCTTAGCTATTCGACTGGCTATTGGTCTTGGACTTCATAAGGACCTGGAGGGGAACAGTCTTTCTCCTTTGCAGACAGAGACACGACGTAGGATATGGTGGTGTCTATGCGTGCTTGATGTTGGCGCCACTATTACCTATGGCAGACCTTTGAATTGGCCGCAGGCTGGTGTCGAGACTGCTTTCCCTCTGAATATTCATGAAAAGGTCAGTCGATTGAAACGACCAAGCAGAGGATTTATTAATCGTTATTCTAGGAACTCACCCAGGACTCTACTCACTGCCCACCAGAAGTTGAAGGCATCACGATGTACACATATATCAGAGTTCAGTCAGCTTATCATCTCAGTACCATGACCGTCTATAACCGTCTCATAACCAGCCCCTTCCCGTCCGCCACGGAACTGATAACTCTGGATGATGTCTGCATCGGTTCTTGGCTGGCCCAAGTACCATACTACTATCTTACTGTACCTCCTCCAGACTCCGAGTTCGCGCTGGGCATGGGTATTTCCGAGTGGCGCTACCGAAATCTCAGGATCGTGATGTATCGTCCATTCCTGGTCCGCTGGGCAAGATCATCCGCGCAGAACGCTCAGCAAAACTTGACGAGCAGCGAGAATCTCGCCGTGTTCAGATGTCTGGATGCCGCAAAAGAATCAATCACCCACATCCAAGGGTACTGGACTTCTCGCTCACATTCAAGGCTCGCAGCCTTTTATATCCTGTAAGTCAAACCCAAAACTCTGCTGACCATCAACTAACAATAACAGGTATTTCCTATTCCATGCTACACTAATTCCTGTCCACTGCCTAAGGCAGAACCCCCATCACGCACTAGCACCAGATTGGCGCGCGCAGATCCAGGCGTCCCTATCCATCATGGGTGCCATGGCAGAGCTCAACCCCAATAGCTCCAAGTGTCGCGACATTACGCTCAAGCTGTGCTGGCCGCACTTGGATGAAGAGGGTGCTCGCACATACTGTGACAATGCCCCGTTCGTTCCGAGTGTAGGAGATAGCGAGGCAGCTTCAATAATCAACGGTTATAATACATGGTGCGAGTCGATGACGAACGCCGGGATATCGGTCCCATATGACTGGGCGGACGACAACGACTCGGCTCTCGGGTTCTTTTGATAGTAAATTACTATTTGGGAAGCTCTTTCCTCCAAGATCGGCCAAGATCCCTGCTAGATGCTGCATAAAACCTGTCTCGTGTCTATCAATGCAACCAAGTAAAAGCATAATAGATCTTGTGTCAGGCACAAGACCAATGCGATGCTGTTTTTTGAGAACGAGGTTCAAATTGGGGTAGCATTAAACTGATGTTATAACTGCCGGAAGACTATTTGATTGCATAAAGTCATTAAACTTTCTTGACCGCACCAACGTTGCACTCTCATGCAACCTCCGCAACGGCTGAGCGATGATCCTTATGAACAAACAAACCTTGAACCGGTTCCAAATTATCCAGTTTCTTGTTTCAAAAACCATCAAAGCATTTTATGCTCATAATCTTGAGATTCTCGAACAAATCCCAGCCACGTGCTTCTTCGTATCAGCGGTCTAGAAAGCATCGACCATCAAAGCGTTATGGCATCAAAGGATCACCAATTCATGCCTGTAGTGCCTGAGCGGCCAATGCCCTCCCCGAAGCATCCGAAAGACGCTCACGAGACTGTAAAGTCAATCTCAATGAGTGAATTCTCTGTAATGCTTTGAGAGAATTTGAGAAGTTGGCTCAGTGCTCCCTTACCATCGAGAATGGAACGATACTTTCCAAGCCGGCATGTCATATGTACATATCTACCGTGGTACCAAGAGCTATTTGACTATAAATAAGCGTAATGAACCCCCAAGAAATTGGCCTGGCCCATATCATCCCAGTACAACATCGACAAGCAACCCAGCATTCAATATGAAGTACACCTCTACCGTCTTTACCTTGCTGGCCGCAGCTGCAGCTGGTGTCCAAGCAGCCAACATCCAGCTCGTTGGCAAAGTCATGAACAGTGCTGCAAAGGAGGGCTTCGAAAACAGTAGAACCCTCGTCTATGCTGGTGGCAAGACTAAGCGTGATGCGCCCAAGGTTTATGAGCCAGATCCCAACCGAGACTACTCCCTTGAGGATGGTTACATCTTTGTCCTTCAGTGTAGCACTGTTGGGTTCAGACCTGAGTGCATCTCGTTTGGTTCTGAGCCCGGAAAATGCGGTATGTTGTACCCCCTCCTCTCAACATGACTCATATACTGATGACGGGCAGTCTCTTACTTCGACTTTGACCCCAAGAAGGGTGATCATCCAACCTCAATCTCGGATGCCTTCAACCACAATGTCACTTCGATCTCCACCAACACTGGTGGCGTATGCCAGTTCTACCAGCAAGTTCTTGGTCCCCCCTTCGCAGGTGCTGTGATCTAACCAGATGAAAAGTTATACCGGCTGCGATGACAAGGGTGATGATCGTGGGTTGAGCAGTTCCTACAACTACAACCTTAACGTGTCTTTGCCAGAGGACCCTCGAACCGTCCAGTACTTCAGGAACGTGACCAGCTGGAGGTGTTGAATACCTCAAACCTCTTCCACTTCCACAAGACATGAACTCGCATGATCTATGAGAGCTCGGATACTAATGGTTCATATGAGAATATTGGAAACGCGAAAGTTAGACCATGATTGATATAATGTGTTGAGCTATTAAGATAATCTTCGTTCTGTATGGCCGAGATTTAAATTGGAGATTCTCGTTATGAATGGCCAATACATAATGTTTTGATAAGTTACATAAAGTCACAATATGAATTATTTATGATGCACAATACTGGGACGCACAATTCTATTGGATATTTACTTTGTACATCCGGGTCATTCCTCGGCCCGGTATGCACTTTCACTACTCACATCACATCCTATCCTATCACATTACATCCAAAAGGTTTCCCCACCAACTCCAACTCAGTCAAAATAACAATGGCAAGCTCCGACGCGGCTACTATTCTTGACATCTGCGCGTATCATAGACGCGACTTTGACCTTGTACTTATTCGATCACGACCTCACGAAAACCAGGTTGTCCGTGAATCCATAGAAAGCCCCTTCGCCGCTTCACCAACAGCGAATCTCGGAATTCTCGATGTTCTGCCGAATGAGCTACTAGAGAAAATAATTGGATACTTTGATGTATCCTCTTATTTCCGCTTCCGCCATGTCAGTCGGAGAGCTCGGGTCTTAGCCAACGAGCTTCATGAATACAGGTCCGTTGTCAAACATGGCATGGAAGGCTTCCGTGGCATGCTGCGTGCGGGACTGGCGACTCATTACACATTTGGAGATATGTACCGTGCCTTGACAACTGAGACATGCTCCTTTTGCAAAAGCTTTGGTGGTTTTCTCTATCTGCCGACTGCTGCTCGCTGCTGTTTCGGGTGTATTGAAAATGCCCCTGAACTACGTGTTATCAGCATGTCTGCCTTGTCAAAGCTCACAAACATTTCTGCAAAGCGCTTGGGCTTGTGTGTTGGATATACTCTTAGAACGGTTCCTGGAATATACTCTATGGAAGAAAGACCGGCAAGACGCCCAGCTTTACTACTAGCAGAAAGAGAGGCTGCCAAGAGACTGTCAGAGCTTGGCCTCCTAAGCTCGGACGCAGCTCATGCTTTACAGGCACGAAGCGAACAACAGAGCCAGCGCTATATGATGTCTACTTCATACCCGTGGTATGATCCAACCACTGGTCAAGTTGAAAATGGTGTCAGTTGTAAGGGGTGTCAGATTCGTCAGGAGACTCTGGCTCTGATTAGTCGAGACCGTGACGATGTATTTTCTTCCAGCGGTTATCAATTCCATTTTGAGACTTGCAAAGAAGCAAAAGCTTTATTCGAAGAGAGTGCAGGCGGAACAAGGAGTGTGGTGGAACCAGAATTCACTCGCCGCAAGGGTTATTTCAACACATTGGATCGAGATGGTCTACCAAGATAAGACGCAGCCTGCTATGTATATCATGGTAAAGAACGACAGATTTTTCATATTTTGAGTAAGTAACAGGAAATTTGAGGTCTGAGAAGGAGACTGAGATGAGACGTCCATCAGAATAGTGACTTGAACGACATATGAGGGTAAACCCAGCAAATGGCGTTCTGCCTTGAGTAAATCATACTGTTCCCCAAGACTCTTGTACCAATCTCTCCAATCTGTTGAGATATATCTTTCTCTTATGTACAGATATTTCAAAGAATAACAATTTGCAAAACTCTATTGGCGACACTCGTAGAATATCTAGCTTTTGTGGTGGTGTAGTAGAGTCTGTACTGGCTTGTCTTGATGTTGACTGTAAAGCTTTGTGATCGAGTTTCGCTCTCAGAACAATTACGTTCCCAACGACATAGAAATCAGGCGGAGGCAGTTTCCAGATAGTATTCTGATTCCTACCTGCTTGAGTGTTGGTTGTAAATGTGGTGTTATTGAAGTCTGACAAAGGCAACCCGTAGGCTGACCGATACAAACTGATGATCGATGTGATGTATCCTTGGTCAACCCTGGGAACTAAGTCGTGTTCGTTGACGACAGCATAGATATGTCGAGTCTGAGGAAGGGCTTGAGCCAGTTTAGTGACGTTTGTTGAAATAACAGGCGGGGCTCCGAATGTGATGAGTGAGAACTTTAAATTCGATACTTGTGAAGGCTGTCAGTTCATGAGACGCGCAGTGAGAAGACCTGGACCTACATTCACTTGGGCAATGGCACACAAAGTGTAGAAGGACCATGGCTGCAACTGCTCCGCCAGCTGAGTGGCCTGTGAATACTACATCTTTCAAACTCTTGTCAGCAGTGACTTGGCGAGTGATCTCCTCAGTAAGCCAGGGAAGAAGAGTAGCTGCACAAGCTAGGAAACCACTATGGGCATGTATCTGTTCCTTAGTGCCCGGGAAAGCCTTAAAGTAGCTGTTAATATTTGACAGGAATAAAAGGCTCCAGCGACTTACAAAGACTGAGGTGGCATTTTTCTGGTTCCTATTGAAGTTTACAAGATGGTCTGTCTTGCACGATGTACCTCTAATGGAAACAAACAGGGTGTTTGTATCTTCTGATTTCCATATTGAAGTGGCTTTGACTGTTCCAGTGATAGAAGGCGTCCGAGAGATCACTGGTACGAGGTCACCCCCAGGATGGACATCTGGTTTGTAGACGGAGCATGCGCATCTGCAGGCTGCAAGCAGTAGCTCCAGTAAATCACGATCCCTGCAAAAGTTCGATTAGATTTAGAAGACACTCGCTCTATTCGGGTAGGAAGAGGTACCCAGTCCAGGGCTGTGAGGTTTGCTCATCAACCTTTGAGTTTTCATACTTGGATATCTCTTTAGCAAGCCGTGACAGGTGAAACTGTAACAAGTCTCCATGTTCTCCTGATTCAAGCTTCTATCAGCATGCTAGACATTTTTCATGTGAGCCTCCTACCCTGGTCATCCAACTGATCGAGTACAAAGTCCAGGCATTGCAGCAGCTCAGTCACGGCCACCGAGAACGCTTGTGAGTTGGCGCTGAATTCTGCTTGCGATGTTGGCGCTGAGGCAGCAGCTGCAATTGAGGTCTTCGTGATCGCTCTTGCATTCCGACCTTTCAGAAATTTCGAGGCCCACATTGTGTAAATATCTCTATCACTCGTGATAGAAGGGTCAAATTCTCTGCGATGGGAGGGAGTCAAGATGATGCCTTGCTGCGCCACGTGCTACAGCCGCTCCCAGATCGGTCAATCGGCTCTCAGGTTAGTACCCACTCGGACTAACCATATCGGGCGACTTAGATTTGGCCATTTAACTACCTGCCTGTAATAAGAGTTTAATATTTAATAGATATTTATATTTAGTACTATAGAGTCACTAGAAAAGAGAAAGATACTATAATAGAGAACTCAGACTTTAAGCAGGTTCTAGTATTCTTACCTTTAAGCCCTAACCTTCCTAAGAATTATATCCCTCTCAGCCCATTCACCATCCTCTTCCTTTCCATCATTACTCAACGCATTCAACTTCACTGATTAATCTCCTCTTACTTCTCTTGCTTCCTTAACTTATTAGAAGTAGTAAGGAAGCTACCGTGATATCCTTCAGACATCTCCATTTCCCTTCTCAAGCAATCCCTGTAGGTCCAGACATCTTCCAATCCCAAGTCCCCTGCCTTTCTGTTCTTTTCTTCTGACCACATTCAGTCAGAATGTCGCAATCCTCAGCTTTGGATAAGCATCAGCTTGTCACTATGATCAACAATGGCTCCTTTGTGTTGGGCGATCTCAGCATCGATAGATGCCCTAAGCTAGAGACCGGAGAGGTCTTGCGGGAAGTCCTGAAGCAAGTCTACACGCGGATGGTGGACGAAGTCTTCAAGACTTTCCATCTGAACAAGACCGAAGCCATGCTCTGCTTCAAGAGATGTGTCAAGAAACTCGTCCGTGGTGAGCCTCTACAGGCGACAAGCCTGGACGAGTACAATGGATGGAACAAAGTCAAGAAACATCTCCAGACCGCCATGGACCTACAATCCCGAACTGGGGATTCTATTTGCATCCCAGCTCCTCATCTCGTATCTATCATTGTTCTGCTCACCATTCGTCGTGTGCGAATCAACAGCCTTGCTGAAGACAACCAACCTTTTGCGCGTCTGTTCGGACACTGTCACATATCTCGGTGGCTACCCATTGCTATCAAGTTCTATGAGGATATGCACAATGAGCCCTTCATCTTGAGACTTAGCCGAAATACCATTGAACCCATACTCACCAAGAAGACCTGTGATGACAATGAGGTCTGGGTTGTCTGGACCAGCGACCCCTCCCCTTCCGGACCGCGCGCCCTGCCCGCTCAGATCCTGGAGCAAATCAAGGGGCTCGAGACACCCACCGACCCTGATGTCATGATGGCTGAGACTGATGTCGCACCAGTTGATTCTAACGATACTGGCGAGGACGAACCCATCTTTTTGATACTGACGACTACCCGAGCTGAAGCCCAGCAGTCTGGTGCTGATGTCTTGAGCAAGCTAGATCAGCCGGGCGTTGATCAGGCGTCACTCAAGCTTGGATTGGATATATGGCTCAGTGAGCCAAACATCCGCGTCATGCCTCGGGAGATAAAGAACGAACTCTTTTTCTGGTGCGAGAACTATTCGCCCAGCTGGTGAGTTGATCAGGACATGCCTGAATGATGATCGAGAGACTTGGACTCTCGAGACAGAGGTCCCCGCGGACTCTCAACTTGAAATCCCCGAAGGAGATGGCTCGGACTTCTTGCGACTCTACGGCCAGCTTGCCAACAAGGCTTTCCTCCTCAAAAGCTCCTACCCAGAAGAAGCCCGCCGTCTCATGGATCGAGCTGGCAATGGCATCAAGCTGTTTGCAGACAAAGCGCACAAGAAAGAAGTGCAAGTGAGAGAGATGGAAGACCGTTTGCACACCATAGGGCAGCAGGATGATCAACGACGCGCTAACAAGGATGACATCACAGACCTTTGGTCTCTGCATGTCCAGCAGACTGGCGATGTCCCGGACTGCCTCCGACGACTGGCTCTTGCCAACTGCACTCCTGAAGAGGTACAGGAACTTGAAACTGCCATCGGAGCCAATCACGAAGACCTCTTGCTGTGATTTGGATTAGATTTTAACGCGGTATTAGTTTCATTGGACTAGCTAGCCGAGAAGTCAGGAGGCTACAGCAATGGTTCTACATGCTTGGAAGATTCCCTCGGGTAGTAATGGGATAAGGTAATACACCTTCGAGACTTGGGCTTCTATTCTGACACCGTGCACCGTGTTTGGTGCTGAAGTCAAACAATGGGACGCGAGAGCCAAGGGGAACAGTAATCATGGGTAACTAAAGGAAGACACATGTTGGGAGATGTGATGATAGCCCATTCTCAATAGGATCTCCAGGCTTTTATTTACTCTTCATTGCATTCAAATTGATGTGCAGTGAAATCTATAGAACCCGTTGCAAACCTGGTGAGCTTTTGAGTAGATTCACTAACTTGATCTAAACTTGATATAGACTATGATAAAGTTGAAACCTCCTAAATCTCTTCAATATTTAGACGAGATTAACTTATTTGGGTCGTAGCTACTGACAAAGATCCCTTAGTACTTTGTTATCCATGTATACTTCAAAGCTACCTGATAGATGGCGTCACAGCATGAGCCTCGATCAGTCCAACACTGCACAGAAGCAAGCTGATCTCGTCAACGCCAGTTTCAACTTCCTACAGAGACATCACGACAAAAGCCCGAGTTTTTCATGTCCACTTTCAGGGAAAGGGTTCGATTGATAGGAAACCAGTGGCAGTCTCAATTACATCCCAAATGCATAACCGACTAGCTACTTTGTCACGCAAGATGGACTGCGAGAACTGGCAGCCATACCCATATTCTGCAGGCTTACTAACTGAAAATAATGCTTTCACAAATATAGTTCACACAGCATACAAACTCTCTTCCTTATGACCATTCTTCTCGGCACTCATCAGTCCTGGTATCTATCCCGTACCTTTTGTGGTAAGACTCCAACCAGTCAATGTGTCGTCTGTGCATATTGATAAAACTGATATCCAAAAAATGGGTGCCATGTGAGGTTGGAGGGGCGGTCGCCTATATGGAGGGAGCCAGCACATCAGAGTTGGCAAAGTTCACAAGTCCGCTTCGTCCATTATTACCCTTTTGCGGCCACGTTTACCATTCGGTATAGTCTGCGCCAAGATCACACTATTGGCTTGATTGGCTTTGAGCATAAGAAAGATGCTATGTTGAGGGGGCTTGGGCTTAGAGGTGATAACCCACAGGACTTTTATTCTAAGCGAGAAAAGCATCTCAATAAGTTTAGTACAAGATTATTTAGCTACACTACCACTTCCCTTGACCCCTCAGTTGAATGTTAGAACAATCCTGATCCAGCTCAAACAATGCTCCTAAACGCTGTACCTGCTTGAGGCTTTGGCGACCAGTATCACCATCAAAATCCCATCCGTTTGAAAAACAACCTGCCGTTGATTAGTGTATGCCCGCATCAAAAGTGGCCTGATTTTTCTGAACCTGATTTAAGCTTCTCCCAAATCACCAAGTTGTTCCATTACATACCCTAAAACGAACCCGAGAGGTCGGAGCAGCCCCTTACCAAGAACGTCAGTGTCCTTCTCAGGATGGGAGACCGGGCTTAACTTTCATCAAGCGAGAGTCCGACGACCTGGTCCGACTTTAAGTTTCACGCAGCTTCGTTAGCACCCAAAAACACCAGAAAGAATAGTTCGCGTGGCATGGCTCTAATTCAGTCAAACTCCAGCCTCTCGGATGATCCGTCGTTAGAGGAGCTTTTGCCTACAAGAGGTTAACCTTGATATAGCTGGCGTAAATGAGTAGTCAACGAAGTCTAAATCTGGCTTACGACATTCTAACCTTGTCGAGATATTTCTGCCACTCGTGATCGATGTCTCAATTATTTTCAACCCAAACGAGCTGAACAGTGGTGTTGTGGCTCAGCGCTAGCTAGCAATGTCAAGCCACAAGATTCCTGATCTGCAACAAATGTATACGGATTTGGAATAAGCTTGTGGGATCTTGGCAGGGGCTAGCCGATGCCATCTGTCAAACTAAGTATGGACAGATCTTGGATCAAAACTTTAAAGCTCCCAGGGAAACAAACGGTCGCTTCCCCCGTGCTGGATCAATATCATTCTCGGGCCACTATGTCTAAGTCATCCTCAGTTAGTCTGAGAAATAGGGCAGATACTGGAACGACATATACAGCCACATGTGGTCTCGATTGCGTCTTATTTGTCATTACTTCATTTTCATCGCTAAATACAAGAAGTTACTGTAATTATACTAGCAAGCTCAAAACAAACATGCCAGCAATATTCGCTGATACACATGTAAGAACATTTGTCTTGATATGGCCCGCACCATTAACAGTGATCGGGGAATCGGGACTCCAGCTATCATCGCCAGAGTCTTTCGTGGCTGGGTTTCCACTAGAGGGGGTATCATTTTGAGAGGGGGAGTTGTTGCCCGACGAGCCGGATCCGTTGCTCGATGCACCAGAAGTGTCGCCTGCATATGGGTTGCCGGTTTTCTGGTTAGGAATTGGATACAATGTATCATGTCCGGCGGCGGCCTCATCAGATGAGCCTGTGTCTGCTGAAGATGAAGACTGACCATTAGAGCCAGCAGGAGCTGAGTTGGAGGGAGAAAAGTGATAAACAGCGGTAGGTGTCTCGGATAACGGCCGAGATCCAGGAATGACGGAATCTGCCTCATCAGAAGATTCACCATTAGAGTCTCCATTGTTTGACTGGGGCTGCATGGATCCAATGTTGGAAGTATCCTGGCTCTCTTGACTTCCGCTGCCAGAGTCCTGTCCAGCCGAATCTCCAGAGTTTGGAGAAGTGTTTGTAGAAAGAGAAGCACCATGGTTGTTCAGTGCATGGCCAGCATCAGAGCCAGAAGAACCATTCTCAGAAACTGAGCTGCTGTGAGATTGCTCACTCTGACGGAGAGGAATCTGCGTTGGTTGTGCAATGGGTACAACAACATAGCCAGAGGATGAATATGCTTGCACAGACTCAGTTGGGAATGTCAAAGTAGCAACTTTGGTCCCCGAGCCTCCGCACTTGTCACATTTGACCAAAGCAGATGTGAAACCAGGTGGAGGAGCGGTTTCGATAGGTAAGGGCTGACAATTCACACCTGAGCATGACTGTGTAATAGTGTAAACTTTTGTTGTCAGGCCTTGAAGGTAGAACTCTTGATATGTGCGAATGTATTGGTTGTAGTAACCATTGGGGCCTTTTGTGACGGTAATGACAGGTAAGGTGGTTGTTGTAGCACAGGGGTCAGAGATGACTCGTGCGTATACAGGTAACAGGAAGCTCAGGCTACAGCTTATTGTTGTTAATCTCATCATGGCGATTTGGTTTAGGTATGTTATTAATATGGGTACGGTAGAGGCAAGAGAGTGCTTGTGTAGATCAATGTGGATGAAAGGAGTGTTGTAGGGCTGAATGTTAAGCCAAAGGAGTGTTGGGATGTCTGGGTCAAGTTGTTGATAGGTGAGACATTTCGAGTACTTATGTCATTTCATGAGATATTAGAGTATCACAATGGCTTCACTAAAACAATGCACAGTCGGCAACTCCATGGAAAGCTTCTAGAAAGAGATTCGACCTTAAAGGTCAGTACGGTCGAGACCCCCAGCGGCTACAACTAGCTGACAGGATTGACATCTCCTAAGAGTAGCCTTGTCGTCGACCTGGAATGTTCGGACATATTAAAGATCCAGGGCAATGCATAGCCAAAGAACCAGGTAGTTGGTGTCCGGCGACAAGTGAATTCGCACCAAAGCCGTAGGAGAGTTTGGCGATCCAGGAACTTGGGGCCTTGTGGCGGGAAGATACTGCTTCGGTATTAAAGCAAGCCTTTTGGAAATCTAGAATCATGCCACTCTGTTAAATCCACAATTAGTCTTCCAGAACGTAGATGGCGCTGGTGTTTGATCTTCATATCTGTCAGAGAGGTCTAGGCCAGAACCATCAACGCCACAGTACATCTGCACGCAATCGGAATGCCAAGGTTTCTGAGAACCAATCTTTCCATATTAATACACTTAAACTCTGCTTGCATGTCGATCATTCTCTCCAAATTTAGTATGTGTTCTTTCCGTAGTTGGCAGTTAAATATATAGCAGAGCGCTCCTTCCTCAGTCGCTTCGTGACTGACCGTCGCACGTGACCTTCTCCTCCAATCTGTCTCGCGGCAGGTACAACACCGTATTACATTTAAACAATATGCTTAAAGCGATGCGCATGTATAAATCAACGTGCTATGGAGTCATTTTCGTGTTGTTTGCATTCGCCTCTGCCTGGGATCCCGTTGTTGATTGCCCTGATGGCGAGAAACGTGCTCAGGTCCAGCCAATCAAGGTTGTTGATGGCTCAATCACATTTGACACAACATTAGCCAGGTTGGTACCTTACTCACTGCGATCTCACAGCAAACTGACAGCTACAGCACATTTCTGATACGACATGAGGCATCATATATCACTACTGCAGTTTTCGGCCTGGGAGACCCTTCAACGTACACCATTCCACCGCAGGGAACACCACCGGTTGGGACTGTCATAAAGAGAACTCCTTTAACCACAATCACTTCAATCATCTCTTCATTGACAACCGCGCGGACGCGGACACTGACTCCTGATCAGCCTGGTGATCCGACTACTGTTGTCATTGAAGAGCCTGAGTACAGAACTCGAACAGAAGGCGTCGAAGTTGATCACACAAGGACCGTCCAAGTGGGTGATCCTGGCGATCTCGAGACAATCACGGTCGGCTGGGATTATTACACCACCTTCATGGAGAAAGGGAGCAATGGAGACCCTGTTACCAAGGTTGTTCATGTTGACGACCGAACCACAATTGTTGTTGGGCAGCCAAGAGCCACGACTATTACCGAAACGAGGGACATTCAGTCTCCTGTCACGCGGACGATCCAGCCAGATAATTCAGGCGGTATCAGCACCATCATTGTTCAGGTGCCAGGATCTACGCCTGCATATACAACAGTCACACGAATAGGAACTGTGACTGCCCCAGTAACATCGACAGAACCTGCACGTAGCTCAGGAGGAACTGGGACGGTTCACGTCATCGTGCCTTCAGATCCTGTTCTATATGTAACTGTCACTCGCACTGGCTCAGGAACAGCGACCGCAACGTCGACGCAGCCGCACAAACACCCAGGAGAGGCTGGGATTGTCTATATCGACATCCCTGAGCCGCTGGGCAGATATAACACTGTCACGCGTTTCGGAACCGGCAGTTCCAGAACGTTTACTCAGACTCCAAATGGGCCTGGTCAAGACGGTGTCGTGGTGGTTGAGATCCCAATCACCGACGCGGACTACAATACTATCACCCAAGTGGGAACTGTCACAGCCCCAGTGACTAGAACGATTCCTCCAAGCAGCCCAGACGGCACAGGCATGATTATAATCGAGGTCCCTCCCGCACGCTGGGCTACCGTGTCTCATATTGGCTCTGTAACGGAACCCGTGACCCACACCATATCTCCAACACGCGCAGGGGACGCCTGGAGTGTTATTGTGGAATTACCTCCTATCAACACTCGTCTCATCTACACCACTCGATATGGAGAGGTGGGCAGCGCTTCAACCACCACTCGGTTCTCAGGCGGCTCCTCTAACACTGGCTGGGTCATCGTTGACCTCCCTAACCCGATGACAACTACAATCCGTGGTGGTGACATCGAATCTCCAACGACTATTACACAGGAGCCGGCAAACCCAGGAGAAACAGGCGTTGTGGTTATAATAACTCCATATAAGTACATAACCACGACGAGAACGTGGACTGGATCAGAAGCAACTACAATTACACAGAAGCCCTCTGATCCGAATGGAGAAGGCACTGTGGTTGTTCAGATTCCTCCAGATGTTACTCCTTTTGTTACTGTCACAGATTATTGGAAAGGGTCAACAACAAAAACTACAACTTTACCTCCATCTGGTGCAGATAAAACTGGGACTGTCCTGGTACAGTACCCTGAAGATTCTCTGCACTACATTGTCACTAGCGAGTATTGGTCAGGCTCTGAAACCCGGACGGTGATTATTCCGCCCACTGGACCCGGAGGTACAGGCACGAAGAAAATATTATTCCCCACTGCTGCTATTCGCTACATTGATACATCTACGACCTGGACGGGATCTACAACTCGTGTGTGGACCGAGCCTCCCTCTAGGCCTGGAGAAACAGGAGTCATACATCATGACGTGCCGGCTATGCGTTATGTTACTGTAACAAATTTTGGAACAGAATCGACGACTCGTACATACACACAAGAGCACTCTGGCTCTGATATGACTGATACTATTGTGGTCGAAATGCCATGGATCACCTCCTGGACTACTATCACCAACACTTGGACAGACTCGACAAGTCGTACATCTACTCAAATGCCATCTGGCTCCGGCAGGCTAGGTACGATTTTAGTTGAGATACCGCCTACTGCTATTGCTTGGACCACAACAACGGTAACGGGAAGCGACAGCATCACTCGGACTATTTCTCAGACGCCTTCTGGCCCGGGGAAGACCGGCACGGTCGTCGTGCTAGTCCCGTCTGCTATCGACCAGTACATTACTACGACGATCATGGGCACTGGAACCGGAACCGTTACGAGGACTCAAACTCCAACTGAGCCTGGCGCTACGGGAACTGTGATCATTGAAGAGCCTCCTGCTGCGGCTAAGTATGTCACTTTGACAACAACTTGGACTGGTAGCACCACCACGACCACTACCAAGCAACCAGACTCGCCAGATCAGACCAGAACCGTGGTTGTTTTTGTGCCTCCAAGCATCACGCCATATGTTACTACTACGATCACTGGAACTCAGACAGCAAGTGAAACCATTACGACTACTCGAACTCCAACTGAGAGCAGTCACGGTCACTACGCTTTACTCGGGGACTTCTGTATTGGCAGGGCCAACAACACTCTCGACGATCCCTGCCTCTGGATCGGTTCCTGGTACAGTCATCATCGCGACAGCTGCACCACAACCCGTCACGATTACTCGATATGGAAGTGCATCGGCCAGTACTGTGACCACAGAGCTGCCCATAAGCTCAGGCGCGGCGCCAGTGGTTATAATAGACTTGCCCCAGACATATACAACGATAACTCGCTGGGCAACTACCATCTCAGTCCCCTCAACGACAACTCAGACTCCTGCGAACCCAGGAGATCCGGTCACTATCTTGCTAGAATCTCCGCAACCCTATACAACCACCACCCGATATGGAAGTGTATCAGCCAGTACAATGACCACAGAATTGCCTATAAGCGCAGGCGCGGCGGCAGTTGTTCTTATAGATTTACCGCAGCCGTATACAACGATAACCACTTGGGGAGGTGTCTCATTTCCCTCGACGGTAACGCAAACACCTCAGAGTATTGGAGAAGTCATCACGGTAATTGAACACCTTCCTCAGCCTTACACAACAACAACAAGATGGGGCAGTGTGACAGTGAGCAGTATTACTACTGAGTCTGCGTCTGTTGAAGGCCAAGAAGCAACTGTGATTATCGATCTGCCACAGCCATATACAACCGTGACTAGGTACGGCAGCGTCACAGCCAGCAGTGTCACGACGGAGATGCCAACTAGCGATGGACAGACTGCTTCTGTCTTCATAGATCTCCCGCAACCATATGCGACGATCTATAGATACGGAGGAGTGACAGCAAGTAGTATCACCACACAGATGCCAACGGTTGAGGGGGAGGTAGCTTCAGTCTACATCGATCTTCCTCAGCCTTATGTCACCACCACTCGGTATGGAAGTGTGTCAGTCAGCTCTATTACCACTCTTGACCCTGCAAGTCTGGGAGGGACGGCAACAGTGATAGTCGACCTGGCCCAGCCTTACACAACCGTAACTAGGTATGGAAGCGTTACAGCAAGCGCCATCACGACGCAGATGCCTACGGTTGAAGGGGATGTTGCTTCAGACTATATTGATCTCCCTCAGCCATATACGACGATCTATAGGTACGGAGGCGTGACAGCTAGCGAGACTACTACCGAAAAAGGCGCGATTCCTGGCGATACAGATACTGTCTACATAGACATTCCATTCTCTACAACGACAATCACTGAACTCTATACCGGCGCATCGTCCATTACGGGGGCTATAGCTGTCTCGACCATTCCTGCATCTGGATCAGTTCCGGCTACCATCGTCATGGCCACGCCGCCTGTCTTTTCAACACGGTTCCATACTGGAGCAAGCCCGGTTTCTGGTCCAGTCACTGTGACTACTCTATACGGGTCTGGGAGTGATCCTGCTACTGTCGTGGTTGAGACACCGCCGGTGACCATAACCCAAAGATACTCCGGCTCTTCGACTGTCACCTTGACTACAATCACACCGACTGGGACAGAGGATGGAACCGTCGTGATCGGGATTCCCTCACCTCAACCTGTCACTAGCTATCGTCCATACTCGGGGACCTCTCCAGTCAGCGCTGCTGTCACCGTGACAACTCTTCAGCCCTCAGATCCTGACGATCCGGCAACTATTGTTATCGAGACACCCCTTGTAACCATCACGCGGCCATATACAGGCACAGAGGTCTTGTCTGGTCCGACGACTGTGACTACTATCTCGGGTACGGTGGTCGTCGAGACGCCTCCAGTCTATCTAACACGATTATATACCGGATCAAATGCTATCACGGGGCCAACTACGGTTTCAACGATCTCCCCTTCGGGCGATCATCCTGGCACAATCATCGTTGAGACTCCTCCCATCACAATCACCAGATTCTACACAGGTACAGAGATACTCTCAGCTCCTACAACTGTCACCACAATCACTCCAACGGGTACGGAGCAGGGGACGGTGATCGTCGAGACGCCTCCTATTACAAGCACGAGGTTTTACACAGGCACGGAGACCTTGTCTGGCCCGGTAACGATAACTACAATTACACCAACAGGAACAGAAGCTGGCGTCGTTATAGTTGAGAAGCCACCTGTAAGAGTCACCCGGTTCTATACTGGTACATCAGTGATTTCCGGCCAAATAACTGTCACGACTATCGTTCCGACTGGTACCGAGGACGGCACTATTATCTATGAGACACCGCCGATTACAGTGACCGAGTTCTACACAGGAACAGATGTAATCACTGGGCCTTTGATACTCACAACAATAACACCGACCGGAACTGAAGCAGGGACTGTTATCGTGGCTACGCCGCCAGTAACTATCACTGTATTCTATACTGGGACAGATGTTTTGACTGGCGTAACCACTGTTACAACAATAACACCAACAGGAACTGAAGCAGGGACTGTTATCGTAGCGACACCGCCAGTGACCATCACTCAACGCTATTCCGGGACTTCTGTTCTATCTGGTCCGCTAACTCTGACCACTGTGACGCCTACCGGTACTGAGGCAGGGACTGTGATCATTGCTACACCGCCGCCGGCGACTGTGACGAGCACGCGACGATATACTGGCACTTCAAGTTTGAGCGGCGCAATCACTGTGACCACCCTTCAACCGACCGGCACAAACGATGGGCCGACCGTTGTTGTCGAAACGCCTGCACCGCAGCCATCCACCAGTTATCGGCAGTACTCCGGAACATCCAGCATCAATGCAGCCAGAGCCGTAACGACTTATCCGCCAACAGGCACAGACGATGGAGGTATCGTGGTCGTGGAGACACCAGCACCACCTCCAGCTTTCAGCTGTGATGAAGGCGGATACTTGATCCAAGTCCGAACTCTCTACAGGCTCAACCTGGTCACAGGAGTCAATTCTCTGGTAGCACAGAATGTTGGACCTGGAGCACCTTCTGGTACAACCAACGGCGGAACCATTAATCCTATTGGCTACAATATCAAGGATAATCTCATTTATGGAATTGTCCAGATTGCAACTGGAAAAAGCCAAGTCATTCGGATTGGTTCCACCGGATCGTATACGCTGATGAACACCTTCATTGATGGAAGTGAGTAGCCCCGCCAGCATTATATGACTTCGCAAAGGTCAAAAGACAATAGCTAACAGGCTACAGCATGGAACACTGGCGATGTAGATTCTGATGGCATTTTCTGGATCTCAACATATGGAAAGGCGTGGGCGAAGATTGATGTGAACCCAACATCGGCAACCTACGGCAAGGTTCTTGAACAAGGAACCGCAACGTCCGCAAATAACTGTGCTGACTGGGTATCTGTACCTGGAGGAGGCCGCTATCTATATGCTCTTCAGGGAAATACGTCAAAGACAGTACTGGCAAGATGGAGCCTCGACACGAAAACTTGGGAAGTGATCAAAGACTTCGGTCATATCGCAGGTGACAACCTTTGGTAAGCCATTTCAATTGCATATCACGACGCGAAGCTAATTAGATTACCAGGGGAGCGGCTTATTCGGTTGGTAACAAGCTCATGTATGCTTCGGAAAATACGTCTGGAGTCATTTACCGATTCAACGTTGAGGTAAGTCACAGTGCAAGAAGTATTTCGTGGGTTACTAACAAATATATATAGACTGGAGCGAAATCTCTTGTAATTAATGGGCCGAAGACATCACAAAATGATGGAGCGCGTTGTGTCAACGCTTCACCTCTCACATAGGCGATGGCATACATGCTCTAGGAAGAGGAGGGAAGGTTGGGCTGCGTCTTTATGGCAGGCCGAATAAGTCCTCTTGAATCAGATATCTACATTATCATTTTCACTCATCTTTCCTACTTTTATCTCATGGCAGTATCTATTCTTTATACACTCGGACTTTGTATGAGTCCAACCATTTGTCTTCAATAATCACCAGCTGTGACGCTTGAACCTTCTTCAGATACTCATCTTCGGGTGTATCCTTGTAATCCTCTCTGTCGATGTCTACGAAGCCCTCCTTGGCGATGGAGCGGGGCGTGATCATCAATGAGCGACCTGTGACGACCATTAGTAACTCACTAACAATGACATCTCTTGTACTCGCCATTAATGCTTCTATCGGTGGCAATTCTCAACATGCAGCTGGAGACATCTTTCTGTTCACCAAACTCCACGCCGCGATCAACTAGCCACTTCTCGTACTCTGCTGTTCGAATGGCGCTCTTGATCCAGCAGGGTGCGACATAGTTTATGCGGATAGCTTGCTCGTGGCTTGATCTTCGTACTGTTCTCATGAAACCTCTAAGCGCATATTTGGTTCCGGTATATTCCCAGTTGCCCTATCGCATGTCAGTCAGTTTCAAATTCTGGTTGCTCACAGCGCCCTGAAAGTCAAGCAGGGCTTTGTCGGGTACTTACTGGAGAATCGATCCATGCTACCATGCTACCGGTAATAATGAAACAGCGATCTCGTTCTTCGCTCACTGGCTGCTTGCGGAAATAATGAACCGCAAGCTTCCACGTATAAAACGTTCCGTCAATGTTAACACGTACGATGTTTAAATCTGGTTTTGTAGGTTCTCCATTAGGGTCTGTAGGTGCAGTTAGTTCAGGGCTCTTCCACTAAACCTTCAGACGGTTCTGTGAGTACACACCATCAAGATTCCACAAGCTATCGCCCGAGCTTCGGGAAATGCCAGCATTTGCAATGACAACATCAACAGAGTTACTAGGGCTTTGACTTTTGGCCGTTTCAAACATGGCCTTTTGTTGATCCCAGTCTCTGATGTCGCATTTGACAAAGACACATTTTTGACCGTCGGCGTTGAGCTCAGCTTCAACTATTTTGCCGCGCTCTTCGTTGACATCGGCGAATGTTACCCAGGCACCAGCAGCGACAAAGTCTCTTACGAAAGCTTCGCCCATGCCATTGGCGCCGCCTGTGATAATCACTGACTTTCCTCGAATATTCTCGAGTTGAGGTGCGATTGTGTGGTCGATTGGACCATTGTAAGCATAGCGATTGACAGCCATGGTGTAAGTGTAAGTGAGCTTGGTGATAGGCTTGGGCTTGGGGTACACGGCAATGGCCTGGTGGAGTGACAAACAAGACGATAATCACAAGATCTTTGCAAGTTTAGGCAACCAGATAAACTTGAGCTAAAATTGACAAAACGCAATTTGTTATTCCCTATCTCCCTCTAAGTATGTCAATACTGTCGCGCAACTTGGCCGGCTCGGTCCCTGTGCGATATCGCTGCAACCCCGCATTCAGCGTCAGCTGGTCGCTAACTCCCGGCAATACCGTTTCGGCATAGCCATTCACCAACAACACTAACGACTTTGCCGAACATGCTTGGCAAAGAGGGAGATGACTTCGGCAATGACCACGCAAGAGGCACGAGATGCTAAAGCGATGGCCTGATTGAGTCTTTGCCGGGCCTAGTGCTGGTAGAGCTGATGGGGCAGAGACAACACCAGCTATTTTACCTATTGTTAAGCATCATGAGTACTTCAACAACACCTTGAACAGACTTACAAGATCAATCTCATCCTTACCATCGCTTCAATCTCAAACACCTTGAGCAGATTCAAAGATCAACATCAACATCAGTCGCAATGCCTGCCTTTGAGTCGCCAGAGACTAAGGCGCAATCCGCCGAGGACTTGTCTTCAATGCCAGCAACTGAGCTCCCAGAACTTGTCACAAAGCTAGATGACATCAAGAATGGACTCAGTAACGGCCATACAAACGGGCATGTAACAGATCCGTTCACACTCAGCCAAGATTATGCCTACACACCGCGCAAGATCAAGGTCTTCACCATTGGCGCTGGCTTCTCTGGTCTGTTGATGGCGCACAAGTTCCAACATCGCTTCCCGGAGATGGAGGACATTGTTGATCACACTATCTTTGAGGCGCGCAGCGATATTGGCGGTACTTGGTTGGCGAATAATTATCCTGGTGTTCAGTGCGATGTACCCAGTCACATTTACGTACGTTTGCCCTTCTATGATCGCGACTTGAGCTGACGATATCTAGGCATTCCCATTTGACCCCAATCCCAACTGGGAGAGGTTCTATGCTAGTGGAGGTGACATCTTGTCTTACATGAAGGCAACTGTCAAGAAGTGGAATCTTGACCGTGATCTACAGCTCAACACCCGAGTTATCGGCGCTGAGTGGCTTGATGATCTAGGTCAATGGAAGGTCACAGTTGAGCACGAGGGCATTCAACGGGAAGAGTTCTGCCACGTATTGATCTCAGCGCAAGGAGTTCTAGTGTAAGTCTCAATCTTGCCGCTTCTGACACAAGTACTAACTGCTCAGTCACGAGGCATGGCCCAAGATCCCCGGTCTGAAGGACTTTGAGGGCCACACCACTCACTCAGCAAACTGGGATCACTCTTACGACTACAGCAATAAGCGTATCGCTGTCATTGGTAATGGCTCATCTGGTATCCAAATTGTGCCACAGATGGCAAAACTGCCTGGAACAGAGGTCACAAACTTTGTCCGCGGTCCAGCATGGGTTTACTACCGCGCACCACCATCAAAGCACCTGGGCCGAGAGGACGATGACCCTAATCCCCGCTACTCAGAGCAGGACAAGGCACGCTTCCAAGACCCAGAGCTTCATCTTCAACATCGCAAGGGCATCATCTCTCGCACGAATAAGTCCTTCTATATATTCCGAAAAGGCGAGAATAATGAGCGCGGCATGAAACTGGCTGCGGAGCAAATGGCTGAAAAGCTTGGTCATGATCCTGTGCTGTGCTCGAAGCTCATTCCTAAGTGGGAGTTGGGCTGCCGTCGTATCACGCCTGGTCCTGGATATCTCGAGTCCTTCTTGAAACCGAACTGCCATTTGACGGATAGTGCGATTACACAGATTACGAAGAAGGGCCTCAAGACTGCTGATGGCAAGGAGCATGAGGTCGACGTCAGTAAGTAACTCCTCACGCTCTCGTACTCAAGTCACATACTAACCATTCTCTAGTCGTGTATGCCACTGGATTTGACGTATCTTTCCGCCCGCGCTATCCCATCGTCGGCCTCAACAAGATTGATCTCCGCGAGCAATGGAAAGAGGACCCAGAAGCATACATCTCCGTCGCCGTCCCCTCCATGCCAAACTACTTCATGATGATGGGTCCCAACTGTCTCGGCGGCCACGGCTCCCTCGTCGAGTCCCTCAACTGGACAGGCGACTACTTCGTCAAGTGGATCAAGAAGATGGCCACCGAAGACATCAAGTACGTCGTCCCCAAGAAGGAAAAGGTCGACGCCTTCATCAAGTACTGCGACCAAGTCCACAAGACTCTCGTCTGGAGCGGCGGCTGTACGAGTTGGTATAAGCGAGGCAAGGTTGACGGCCGTGTTACTGCGCTGTTTGGTGGAAGTGCTCACCTGTTCAATCGCATGCTGGGGGATATTCGTGCGGAGGACTTTGAGATTGAGTATAACACGGCGAATCCGTTTAGATTTATGGGTAATGGGTTCACGGAGTTTGAGATGGATCCGGAGAGCGATCTTAGTTGGTATGTAGAGAAAGCAGAGACGCTTCGATGCTGAGGTTTGAAGGAGGAGTAGGATACCATTTGCAGTACTTAAGATTAAGATAGCATTAGATCTACAATTACGAGTTTTTTACTTAGATCAAGACACATTTAGATCTCAAATTTATGAGCTTTTGTGTAGAAATCGGTACAGAGCCCATTTGAGAAGTTCTGGTAGAGAGATGGCGAGTGTTCAAAAAGTTGTGATGTCGGCCCCAGCAAACAAAGCATAACGACAAAGGCGCAGACCAATTGCCATGAGACTTTACTTGCTTGCACCAAATATCTTTACATTACTATAGTATATCGAGATTAATGTTTGAAAAGTCAAAATTGTAATCAACAAACGGCTCAAGCAAATCATGATAACGATTGAGCAGGTCCTCATGAAACACTGCATTCTCCGGCGACGGCAGCGCAGTCGCTGTAGTCCCAAACTCATCATCGGCAAGCAGACAATCCGCAATCCGACTCGTAGATCTCGTCACAAATGGAAACAGGAGCTTCCAGTCAAAGTCATTCGAAGGCGCGTCCCCAGAGCCGTTGGAACCTGCCGCTCTGCCTTTACCCGCATGCATCATGGACCTAGGCAGCGCGCGCAGTCGTTCAAATCCTTGCCGTATAACATTGGCAGAAGCCCACATTTGCTGGAGCTGCCCGACTGCTTGGTCCAGGATATCCAGTCCCTCTTCTGCTTCTTGGGAGAATTGCTTGATCCGGCTTGCTTGTAACAACGCGATGAAGGCTGTACCGCTGTACCAGCAGGTAATCGCCATGAGGAATCGCGCATTCCCACGCGACAGGATATCTCTCAGGATTCTGGCGATGCATGAGGCAGCTAAGATAGCGGGTGGTAGCGCTTGCGGCAGGTCTGGTGTCGTTCTCTGTAGATGCATCACGATGATCGTTGTCAGGTATGGGAGATGCAATTGATGAACATCCCTGTCAAAGCCTTCCGTTCGACTGGAGCCAATTGGTAGCTGAAGGTCTGGGGGCAAAGATTGAACCCATGCGACAAGCTCTTGTCTAAGCTCCGTAGGAAATGTCGCAGTTTCCGGAGGCGAGTCCACTGACTTAGATAGTGCCTTAGAAACCTTGCCCATTATACCAGCAAGGCGAACCCAGTACTTAAATATTCGACCTTTCTTCTGTGACGCCGGATCGCTTGGGAAATCTGAGGG